AGGTGAACAATTTTCATTTTAAATGGCTTTTTGTTACTAAAATGATATCCAAAATGTACATTTGTGATTGGTCATATTTTGTCACCATTGTATGTAGAGAACAAAAATTATATCTACGTTTCATCAAAATGGAAGTAGACAGGTAGTTTGATAAGCCTCAGGTTTACAGTGGTAGTTAGCTATGTGCTAAAAACATTAATCCCTGTGTAATGTTTGAATGGAAAACTTCTTCTCTAAAAGTATATTTTTCAGAATATTGGTGCTATGTGATAACTTATTTGGTGAAGCTTCACGTAAACTATTCTAGACAATTAATAGAAATATTTTGAACGACCAAGATAACAGATTTCGTTGTATGGCCTTTCAAGTATTTAATTTTGGTCTAAATGTAAACCGCTGGACTACTTTATAATTATTTTCACAAAATGCTTAATCATGACTGTCAATTTTTCCATGACTAACTATACTGTGCCAGATGTTTCTTAGGTTCTGCTGAGTCATTTTTTTTTCCAGAACTCTATGTTTCCACTAACTTCTACTTCTCCCCTGGCCTTTTTTCACATATTTTTTTTTACTTGAATTTTGGGTAAAATGGTTTCGTTGTTCCTTTTTATCATTTCATATGCATATAATAGCTTTATATTAATTACTCTCAATCTCACCTGGTATCATAAAGCTTAACTTATCGCTTTCTGGGAGAGATATATATTTTGTGTAATTTATTCTGAAAAGTCATTAAGCCTTTCTATGCAAGGGAAGCTATCAACAGCCTCATCATATGACGAGTATATTCTGAATCATCCTAAGACTCAGGCTTCTAGAAAAATGCTAACCAGTTCCCAGACTTCTACATTTGTTATTTGTTCTTCAGCTACGTTTCCTCCTAATTAGATTTTATGGCTGCAGCAAAGATTGTTGAATCACTGGGTAGACAGCCGGAGCTTGCTGTCAAGCGGTGCCTTTCAACTCATAATGGACTTGTATTTTCTTATCAATCTGAGCATTATGGAACACTCATTGCCTGGCCCCCAGATAGTACAATTACAATGACAGACCTCATGTTTCAAACGCCAATAAAATATTTGGCTTCACGCATGGATCCATAAAGTATTCATTGACTCAAGACATAGAAAGAGCCGACTATGCGCCAGTTGTCATGCAAAGAGTTGAGAGATGCAAAGTAAAAACCCAGTTCCTATTGGCACAACAGTTAAGCGCTGGGCTGCTAACCGAACGGTAAGCAGTTCGAACCCACCAAGCGGCTCCGTGGCAAAAAGACAAGGCGATCTGCTCCTGCAAAGATTACTGCCTAGAAAACCCTGCGGGGCAGTTCTGCTCTGTCACTTGGGGTCACAATGAATCCGAATCAACTCAATGGCGCCTAACAACAACATTCCTCAAAGAGCTCTAGTGGAGAACACAAGTAAATGCACAATTGCAGCATTGTAAGTACACAGGAAGTGAGGAAATATTGCCCCAGTCATCTTCAGACTCCTCGTCGACCACATTTCATCACTGCATATGCAAAGGGAACTCAACCCCTCTACATGCCTCCGTGCATGTTTCAACGAAAAACCATCAGGGTATTTCTGCCCAAGAACGGCAAGTTTCATAAACTGCAAGGGTTTCCTACACTAACTGCAGAACATTGCTGAGTGTCTATGGATGAATAAATTAATCAAGTAAGCCTGGGCTTCTGTCTCAATTTCACATCCATGCTTTGGGAGTAGAAGAAAGCATTGTCAGTGGATAGAAAGAGACCTGATCTGCATCGTGAGTTTACCAGTTGCCCTCAAGTTGATTCCGACTCATGGTGACCCCATGTGTGTCAGAGCAGAACTATGCTCCATAGAGTTTTCAGTGGCTGATTTTTCAGAAGGAGATCTCCAGGCCTTTCTTCTGAGATGTCTCTGGGTGGACTCAAACCTCCAAACTTTTGGTTAGCAGTAGGATTTAGGCAAGTTGTTTTAATCATGCTAGCTGGCTGACACAGGAGCCTCAGCTGTAAATAGATGCCTGTGAGTTCCCTCTAGCTCTCTGACATTCCAAGAGCTAATCAGAAAGGAAGGAGCCCTGTGGCAAAACGGTTGAACCCTTGACTGCTAGCCGAAAAGTTGGCAGTTCAAACCTATCCAGTGGCTCTGCGGTAGAAAGACCTGACGATCTGCTTCTGTAAAGATTACAGCTTAGAAAATCTCGGTGGGGCAGTTCTTGTCTTTTACATGGGATCACGGTGAGTCGAAAATTGGCTCTACAGCACACAGCAACAATCAGAGAGGAGCTGGTCAGGCCAGCGTGATTATTATAACCTGAGGAACTTTGCAACTTAGAACCTCTAAGGTGGAGCATATAGGAGGGAATTTGGTAACTGCTAAAGATCGACTTTACCGAAGGGGGTAAATAAATTGTGTAAGGCTAGTAAACAACTTTAACAATCCATCTGTTCCTGTGCAACAAATATCAACAGTAAAATTTTAGCGATATATTTTTAACAATGCCACATAACAATTGACCTACAAATCATCTGGCCACGGTCTGATCAACTGGGAAAAAACTTTGCTGTGAGATGGTATTTACCATAACCAGTTTTATTCCTCTTCTTGAAAATAGTAAAGATTGTAGCATTCTTTAAATCTTGAAGAATATCATTCCATATATACTCAAAAACCTATGCAAACACCCAACAAATTCCTTTTTGTCTGACAAGTTTAGTGACTATGCAAATGTTCACCTAATTTATCAACGTTTAAGGCACCTTTTGTGCCACAATCTAATGGTAAACATATTTTTCTTATCAAAATGCTAACCTGGATATTGCTTAAAGCCTTATATGATTTCAGGATAGTCTAGTGGCCCCAGCGGAATTCAGTTATCTTGTGGAGTCCCTGGGTGGTGTGAATGATTAATGCACTTGGCTGCTAACCAAAAGGTCGAAAGTTCAAGTCCATCCAGAGGTGCCTCAGAAGACCTGGTGATCTACTTTTAAAAATCAGCCATTGACAACCTTGTGGAACACAGTTCTGCTCTCACACACATGGGGTCGCCATGAGTTGGAATCACTCCCCAGCAACCGGCTTGGCTGACTTTATAGATGCAACAACTTCTTGGGTCTTGTAAAACCACTTGACTGAAGCGTAACAATTTCTCTTTAGCAACCTTCAGTCCCAGAAAGCAAGGAATTGCATCCATTTAGGGCTGAAGATCTGTTAAGGAAAACGACTCAGGCCTGAGACTGCAAAAAAAAAAAAAGAAGGATTACATGGCTTAGTTTTGCAAAATATAAAATTTGTGGGTTTTAGAGCTGGAGAGAGCTCAAAGAGGAAACCAGTGCAGCTTTCAGCTTCTAGGAAGCAAGGACCACAGGGGTGAAGCCTGGATATGCTATTTCAGTTCAGGCAAGGGGAGAACAAAGATTTTGCGAGTTTGTTTTTGTTCATTTGTTTTAAAATGACTGTAATGTTATGGTTCAGCAAACTATACGGAATTGTGTACAGTGTGCACTAAAAGTATAGGCAATAGGGAGAGAGAGAGCACCCTCCCGATAAGAACTCTCCAGCCATGACTGGGAGGCAACTGCTGTTATCTGCCGGCAGATTCCGACTCCTGGCAAGCCACGCGTGCAGGTAGAACTGCTCCATAAAGCGATGGATGACCGACTGCTAACCAAAAGGTTGGCGGTTGGAAACCACTATCAGCCCTGGGGAGAAAGATGTAGCAGTCTGCTTCCGCAGAGATTTACAGCCTTGGAAACCCTATGGGGTCACTATGAATCAGAACCCAATCCAGGCAGTGGGTTTTGGGGGGACCTTTAGGAAGCAGATCTTCATGCCTGTCTTCCGAGGTGCCTCTGGGATGGGTTCGAACTCCCAAACTAATCTTTGAGCCAGTAGTTAAGCGCCACCCAGGGACTCCTGGAGGCAACTACAGAGATAATCAAATTATGGGAGGAACTTTGACAGGAAGATCACGGAGCCATGGAATAGTAGTTAACGACGTTCTCATGCCTGACAATTTTACGGCGAAGCCCAGAGAGGAAGCCGGAAAGTTATTCAAAAAACCCAAAGCTTAAATCGTGGGGCACGGAAGTCTGATGATATTTTTTAATTTCATTTTTGTTTTCTCTACACATAAGCGGAACTAACTTCGCCACGGATGCCTTTTTCGACGTAAGAACAGCCCATTCTGGAAACAGAGTTGCAGATGTAACCCTGGAATCTCCCAGAGGCAAACTGCCGGGTTTGGGTCACTATCCCGAGTTCGGATGGGTTGTGGCTGAGAGCCGCAATCTTGCCACGGACCTTCGGACCTATGGGCCATGGGCTACTCTTAGCCCATGGCAGACACCTGCATTTGCACCACCTTTATACAATGTGGCCCACGCTAAGGGCCTTGTGAGGTGGAACGGCCAGGTATCATTGCCCCTGTGGATTGAAGACGAGACCGCAGCAGGGCGAGGGCCCTTGCTCGACACTCCATGACTTGGCTGCAGATCTCAGCGCCCGGCGCCCGGGAAGTGCCCTAGAGGAGCACGGAGCCCGTACTTTCTATTACGCTTTGTAAATGCTGCCGCTCCCTCCGGCCCAGAAAACTTTATTTCGAAAAGGAAAGGCATAATATCCTTCCTCCCCCTCGAGGAATCCTCCCATCGCTGCCCCTTCTTTCGTCCTCCTAGACCCGCTGCCCACCCAGGCTGGACGCCGGGGGCTCGCGGGGGGTAGGGCCCTGGGGGCGTCGGGGCCTCGGCGGGCGCTGCACCTGGAGCCGCCGGCAGCCCACCGACAGCTTCGCGCTCCGCGGCGTGGTTGAATCATCGTGAATCATCTCTTGCAGGATCGCGCAGTTGCCTACGAGGAGGAGGCGGGGTGGGGGTGTGGATTGCCCGGGGGCCGCCCACCGTGACGGCTGTGGCCCAGGCCGGGGGCGGGGAGTCAGGAGGGGCCGAAGCGCGGGAGCCGCCGCCGGCTTTATAGCGCGCGGGGGACGGGCTTTCCCAGACTCGAGATTCCGCGCACCCCATTGCGCTCCCTCCAACCGCCCAAGGGCGCCTCCATTCCCACCTCCCCAGCCTCCAGCGCTCAACTGAATCCGCAGGACCTCGCCGCTGGCTCTTGGAGATGACGACCCCCGTTGGGCACCACGCCTCACGCCCCGAGGCCGCTGTTGCTCTGACGCTCCTGCTCGGCTGGGTCCTTGCCCAGGTGGCCGGCGCCGCAGGTGAGTGGCACCCGACGCCTCGCCCTGAGGTGGCAGCAGGCTCGCCCGACTTCCCTGGAGCGCCGCAAGGTGCCTCCGGCGCCCACCGGGCTCGGCAGCGCTCACCCAGCCGAGTGTGAATGAACCGCCGGCCCAGGGCCGACAGCGGGAGGCACCGGTGGTTCGCGCCTGGGACCCTGCTGCCCTTTTCTGCGGGAGAAGCTCGCACCGGGAGTCCACTATTGCATAAATGAATGTTTGGCTCCCGCTTTAAATTTCGGAAAGTATTTACTAGACTCAGAATTATCTCAGGGCAAGAGCTACCCTGTAATCCATGGAAACCAGCAAAGATCTTGAAACCTTGTTTGAAGGTGGGGGACGTGGGGCCGCACCTGCGCAAGACCAGTGGTTTGGAGGTTATCTTTCCTTACATGTGCATCTCTCCCGTGGTAAAGAGCGGCCCTGGGTCTTTTCTTGGTCATCTTTGTTTTAGGTAGGGGAAGAGGCAGTCCAGTTGCCAATGTTATTTGACTGGAGCAAGCACGGGCGTTGTGCATGCCCCATAGCCCTATTCGATGTGGGGGACTGGGCAGAGACTGGAACCTGTTGAGTACTGGGAAAGCTGACCTTCATAATAAAGCATCCTCACCAAATACATCCGACAGTGTGACAGGCCACACAGCCACCCCGTCTCCGTGGACGCTTTAGTATAGAGAAACTTCTGTATAAAAATGGAAGAAGTCAGCGTTTGACTTTTTCATTGTATGTAGTCCTAAATCTTCTGCACGTGTAGGATTTGTCCTTTTCTGTAACTTATTGCAAATCTTTCCTAAAGGGCCTGCCCTTCCTTGATGATTTGTGCCTTAGAGTTATGTCCTTCCCAGGTTGGGTCAGGGACACTCTGGAACCTTAGTGACTCCTGGGCTGTGCTTCAAGGTCAAGTTATAACAGGGCTTTTCCAAATGAATAATTTCAAACAAGGGTTTCAGGGTCTTTGCCAGTTTCCATGGATTACTGGGTAGATCTTGCCAGGAGATAATTCTGGGTCTAGAAAATTCTTTAAGTCTCTTTTCTTGATAATTCAGTTGTGAAGCTTTTGTGATTGAAAAAAAAAATCTGAGGTTTATGTTGATGGGAGGGTGGGAAGATGTTTTTTACTATTAAGTGAAGTCATGTGCTGAAAAGTGCATTTAATAATAGCTGTCTATTTTGTTTAAAGGCGCTGCAGATATAGTGGTAGCATATAATTTAACTTGGAAATCAACTAATTTCAAGACAATTTTGGAGTGGGAACCGAAACCTATCAATCATATCTACAGTGTTCAGATAAGGTAAGCTAGGGACAAAAAAAGAAAAGAAAAAGAAATTTACGGTGTTTGCTGTTTCTGCTTTCTTGTGCTAAATACAGATATCTTTAAAGCCGATTAATGCATGAGATTATTTACCAAATGACAAAGAAGAGGGAGCATTTATGGTAATTTGCTGGCCAGTTCAGTACTCTATCAAGACTGAAACATTCCCGGACCTTAAATTGATTCAAAGTTTTAATTGTTTTTGGAAATGATGGGAAATTCCTAAGTGAAGTACAAACTGTGGAGAGGCAAACCTTTTCGACCAGGCAGTGGAGGCACCAATACATGCGTTTCTGGATCAGTAGTAACGAACTTCACCTAAGTAAGATGCCTTTTCTGTTGCTGTCTAGACTGTGAGCCTTGTTAGGCAAGAGGTGGGGAGGAATTCAGATATATACATTGCCCTCAAGCAGTGTTTAATTCATTAATCTTTGTACTCCGAATCAAAATTCAGTTGCTCTCCACAGAGGCCAAATTAGTGATTCACCATGCCTCCAGGCAAGACTCCTCTGTCTGCATCCTCAGTTGTCAAGGCTGCTCTGCCCATTCTATCTCCCTTTCTGATTGCCAGCTCTGCTGCGGCCTTGGTAATTCAGTACAGTCTCATTGTTAGGAGTGTGCAGCATATCGCTCTTGGTGGTTTTCTCCATATTCTTGGCAAGTGTTTGGTTTCTGAAATGCTCTAGGAGACTTGGTGAAGATCTCATTAAATAGAGAACAGCAGCTATGGAAATGCTGTTAACACTAATTGTAGAACGCCACAAAAGTGTGACTGGCTAAAATTAAAGGGTTTTTTCTGATTTTTTTTTTTAATTTTTGTCTTTCTTTTTAATGCATGTCAAACTTTTTATAGCATTAGGAATGCAGCTTCTAAGAACAGGGTGGATCCTTGTCAGTGAATGTTCTTGTTTTTCAAAGTGAACTTAGAATAACTATTGCCCGAGCAACAAGGAAGAGAATGTGTCTGTGTGTGTGTGTGCATGCATACATGTGTGTGCATGCATGTGTGTGTGTGCAAGCATCTGTGTGTGTAGATAGAGAGAGAGAGAGTTTTATAACCTGAGATAAGGGCCAGATTTGTCCAGTCAGACTATATCAAAAAAACCAAACCTGTTGCTGTCGAGTCAATTCCAACTCACAGCGACCCTATAGGACAGGGTAGAACTGCCCCATAGGGTTTCCAAGGAGCAGCTGGTGGATTCAGACTGCTGACCATTTGGTTAGCAGCCAAGCTCTTAACCACTATGCTACTGGTCATTAATTCTTCTAATGTGGAGCTGAAGTTTACCTTAAACACTTTCCTTCTGGATAGTACAAAATAAATTAATAGTGAAAATAAAATTTTAGGAAGAATGCTTATTTTCTAAATATATTCAGACTTAAGTTTGGTGAGTATGTAGAAATATATTTATGATTGACCTGTTTTTTTTTAAATACGCCTTTGTCAACTGCAAGTTCTTGGACTTCATAAACCTGCCTTTGTGTAAATGAGTGTGGCCTCTGATCTATAGGCGTCCCTGGGGCAGAGCTGCAGCTCGGGGAGTACCCACAGTCACAGGGTGCATTCCACCCAGGCTGAGGACCTGTGAGCAGTTCCATCAGATTCTGCCCAAGACCTGCACTCTGCCTCCACCCTGTCCACAGATAAACAGGATTCCTTCATTAAAAGGGACCATAGCAAGTATTTTAGAGATGAGGAAACTCCTGTCCTGAGAGGGTGAGGTATATATTCACACCTGCGCTGATGGTGCGTGCCTGCACCCCGTCTGGAACTGAAGCCTCCCACATACCTTCTCTGCTGGGGTCTGTGGCACACAATCTGGCAGTGAGGCCCCAGTGCCTGGGAGGAAGAGGGTAGCCCTTTTCCACTGTATCTCCTCAGTGTGCCTCCTATCCTCCTTCTCCCTGTGCTTCCTGCCAAGAGGAAGCATCTTAACCTGCCGCTCCTCTTCTCCGCCCACCTGCCCTAACTACCGAGCCTGCCCCAGCCACAGGATGCCATTGCCGACCCTGAAGCCCCTATTTGCAATTCCAACTACATTTTCCCCCTTTGGAAACAGTTTTAAATGGTGGCTGGAAAGTGTTATTGACTCAAGCCTTAGCACTGAACTATCACCTATATATAATACTGATTCCATGGGAATGTTCTGAATTGCAAAATTACAATGCTTCTGGAAAATCATCTGCTCCTAAATTGGTGACAGTCTGTGTTCTCTTGGAAGTTTTTAGTAATTCAGGTAGGACTTTTCTTCTTTTATTTCCAAATCCTCGTGCTAAATTTTGCTGTAGAGTGCGTGGCCTCTGTGTCTGCACTCTCTCAGAAGGAATGTAGCCCCAGTGCCAAGCAGAGTCTTTCTCCTGATATCTGAGCTACTTGCTTGCCATAGCCGTGGAGAAAAATTACCATGTATTCATTCTCTTTTTTGAAATGAGAGTTACACATTTTGGTTATTCTGGAATAAGACAGCCTCTCTGTTTTTATCGAAGACAATTAAAGAAATGCAAGAAAAAGAAAATGTCTCTGTATCAATTGTAGTTTGTAAATTTTAGGACAAGGAGTGGGTTTACCCAAATCCTTTTACCTGGGTCATTTAGTTCAGATTTTTAAAAAAATGCATACTTATGGTTCTCATGCATGGATTTAGACAACTGAATCCATGTGGTGGCTTGCCCCCGCCCCATTTTATTAATTCAACCTGTAAGTTCAAATCATCTAATACTTAGCAGGGCCGGGCTATGTGCAAAGCCCCAAAGCCCTGCTGCTTAGCTAGAGACACAAGTGCATGGCTACCTCTCAGAGAGCGGACTGTGTTCACATTAAGTGCTTTATGGAGGGACAGGTTGTAGGGACAGGGGAAGGAGAGGTGAATTCTGAGCAGATCTGGGAGGTTCCTGGGGAGGGTGGGATGGGAGCCTGGCCTTGAATGATGAGTATGGTCTTGGCACAGTGGGTGATGCTGAAGGGAAGAAGGGTGTAGCAGTCACTTCACATGTTTTTCTATGGATTGTTTTGGAGCATTAGAAGAATTTCATTTCAAGCTGGAGTTCTTTAAATCCTTTCCTCTTCAGTGATGACTTATAAAGGAAAGATTTGTCTTTCAGCCTCTTAGTCGCTAGACTTTGTTAGCCAGGTACTACCTATATCGTTATTCTGTGATCTTGGACAAGACGTATTCATGTCTTGTAAAAGTGAGGGAGGCATGTAGCATAAGGAGGCAGGCAGACCCAGCTCTGCCACTCATTAACTGTGTGACCTTGTACAAATTACCTAGTGTCTCTGAACTCCAGTATTCTCATCTGTAGAAAAGATCCGGTACCTTCTTAGAAGGATCATAGCAAATGAAGTAACATATGGAAAGAGCCCTGGACAGTGCCTGGCATATAGTAGATTCAATAAATGATTAATAACCACACTAATGATGGTGATGAGGGAGTGTAATAAATAGAAGGTACAGTGATATAACGAGCCGTGGTGGCACAGTGGTTAAACACTCAGCTGCTAACCCAAAGGGGTCAGCTATTCGAACCTACCAGCCACTCCTTGGGAGAAAGACATGGCAGTTTGCTTCTATAAACATTACAGCCTTGGAAACCCTATGGGGCAGTTCTGCTCTGTGCTGTAGGGTTGCTATGGGTCAGAATCTACTTGATGGGACACAACAATAACAACAACTGTGATAGAATGTGATAAGCAGACTATAATAAACAGTGGGAGCTTGATGGAAAATTCCTTTCTCCCATTCTGCCATGAGAACGAGTCTGCACATTCAGAGGCATTATAACAACGGTTAAGAGGCCAGACCCCGGAGTTAAATTGTTGCTTGATGCGAAGTCTAGCTGTGTGGCTTAAAGACAGTCATCTAATCTCACTTTGCCTCAGTTGCCTTATTGTAGAAACAGGAATGTTTACAGAGCCACATCCCAGTTGCTGTGAAGACTCGAACAGCATCAGAAGTGCTCAGCATAGGAAATGCCGCATCAGGATTGGTTGTGGTTGCTGTTAATGTTAACATAGAACACCACAGCCAGAAAGCAGTCTCTCGTGTTGGATGCAAGTTATGATGTTCTGTTCCTCTTTCTTTCTTTAGCCCTAGGTTAGGAGATTGGAAAAACAAATGCTTCCATACGACAGCCACCGAGTGTGACGTCACCGATGAGATTGTGAAGAATGTGAATCAGACGTACACGGCACGAGTTCTTTCCTACCCGGCAGGGTATGGACATACCTCCAGTTCTGACGTGGAACCTCCTTTTACAAACTCCCCAGAGTTGACCCCTTACTTAGACAGTAAGTAGGAAGAGAAATGGCTTGGCTTGTAATAACTTTTCATTCTTATTGTTAAACCCATTGCAGTGGAGTTGATTCCAACTCATAGCGACCCTGTAGGACAGAGTAGAACTGCCCCATAAGGTTTCAAACGCTATAAATATTTATGGCAGCAGACTGCTACATATTTCTCCCTCAGAGGGCTGGTGAGTTCAAAGGGCCAACGTTTCAGGTAGCAGCTGAGCACCTAACCACTGCACCACCAGGGCTCTTCTGCTTGTACTAACTTCTTAATTTTCTTGTGAGCTTTTGATCCTTAATGGTCATTAGATTAAAAAATGTTTATACATAAACACATTTTCTTTCTCAGAAACGAAGTGCCACAGTCCTCTTTGCTCTTTCTGGGTGTGGTAGGAGTTACAGAGGACATGAATTTCTGAGTTGATAATGGTGTCATCCAGTAGCTTTCTCTACTGGTCTGTCCCCAGACCCCACCATCAACTGGCTGGCTGCTTGAGGAGTAAGAAATCCATGAAGGCTGGGATTTCAGCTTGTCCCCATATATGTATCATAGATCCTGAATTATCTGCCCCATCCTCAGACCAGAAGTCCAAGTTTCAGGTTTTTAAGCATGGGGAAAGTCCACACAGTTTCCCTCTAATGCCATAATTGAGGTTGCTGACCTTTTCCAGTCCATCAACCATAATTGAGTCCTGGGATGTGCCAGCACTTGCCAGCTCCCAGCTCACCTCCCACACACTGTTTTTTAAAATGTGGAACACTTTTGCTCCACAATATTTGCCCCGATACACTGACGTTTTGGCCTAACGAGAATGCAGAGGATTCCTTCCAAGTAGGAGATTTGAATTTTTTTGTATGTCTATGGTTCTGGACTATTTTAAATAAACACATGTAGCACATTGAGGAGAGTAAAATCAGCTTCTCTTTTAAGGCCTACTGGCTAGAAAGGATTTCTGGTAGCGCAGTAGTTAAGCGTTCAGCTGCCAGCCAAAAGGTTGACAGTTCAAATCCACCAGCTGCTCCTTGGAAACCCTATGGGGGGCAGTTCTGCTCTGTCCTATAGGGTCGCTATGAGTTGGAAATGGTTAGAATGAAGTGTTGTGTTATTCGTGCTTCTATATTTACCTCTCTGGCCACCCCATTGAGAGGGAATAGAGTTTCTGGAGGTAGAGAGGGTGAAGAGAAGGGGTAGAGAGACCATCGACCAACCCTTCAGTACCGTTATTTACTTTGAGGGTCAAAATAAGGGGCAGCTTTATTTCAGGTGAGCCTGGCTGCCTTCTCTGAGCCCCTGTTTGGAAGATCCTCTCTTCAAACTCCCTCTAGTGCTTTTACCTGTGTGTCTCTTACCGTACTTGGTAAGACACCACATCGACAGCCATCTCCAATAACTCTGCAGGGTCATGTCCATTCTCCTTCCAGTTGATGAAGTCTCATTATTTCCTTTTATAGTACTTGAGTTGTTGTAGGACATTTCCCTCTTTGTGAGAGAGGAAACATATAAATCGAATGGTGCAAAGTAGAAAATATTGTATCCGTTCATCTTGTGTGTGTGTGAATGCATACACACGCACGCATACTTTGTCCTGTGGCTTGTGTATAATTGGTATTAAGTAATTGAGAGTTATTTTTCTTTTATTCAACCAAAATACATGAGATAACTGAGCCATTGCAGAGATCCAGTGGTTAAAACAGGTTCCGTGAGGTATCAAAGACATTCCATGGGCTTTCCCATAGCCCTGAATTTATGGTGCCCAAAACATGGACTCTTAAAACCCACACTGTTCATTCAGTACAGTAGCCATGACTACATGTAGCTGTTGAACACTTGAAATATGGCTAAAGCTATTCCGTGTAAAATACATACTGAGTTTCAAAAACTGTAAAAGCTTTTTTTAAAAAAACTGTAAAAGGTTTTTGTGTTAATTACTTGTTAAAATGATAATATTTTAGATATAGTTGGTTAAGATATATGATTAAAATTAATTTTTTTTAACTTTTTCTAATGTAGCTACTGGCAAGTTTAAAATTACGTCTGTGGCTGTATTTCCATTGGGCACTGCCGCTGTAGACCAGGGAGTCGAGTTTTTTTGCAGGTGTTTTATGAAGGATGATTAAGTTGTTATTAACTGTGATAACTAAATGGGATTTTATTTGTATAGAGTTCTTTGGTTCCAACCAGACTCATTTTCTGTGTTTTAGCAAATCTTGGACAGCCAACAATTCAGAGTTTTGAACAAGTTGGGACAAAGCTGAATGTGACAGTACAAGATGCACGTACCTTAGTAAGAATGAACGGTGCATTCCTGAGCCTCCGGGATGTTTTTGGCGAGGACTTAACTTATACTCTTTATTATTGGAAAGCTTCAAGTACAGGAAAGGTGAGGAATTTTTAATTTGTTTTTGTGACTTCTTTTAAATTGTGGATCCTTGATTTTACCCCCTCCCTGCCCCAGTCCCACCCCCAGGTCAAAACCAGCAGCACGGAGGCTGGCTGAGAGGGCAGTGTGGTAGAGTAGGAGGGGTGCCTGCTGGGTGGGGAGTCAGGCAACAGGTCCTAGTTCTACCTGTGACTTTGACCAGCCTTGTGACTTTGGGCAGGGCCCCCTCAGAGACTCAAAGTCCTCTGCCAAAGGCTGGACCAGATTATTGCTAAAATTCCTGTTGTTGTTGCTGTTAGATTCCATCGAGTTTATTCTGTCTCATGGTGACCCCAGCTGACAGAGTAGAATTGCCCCATAGGGTTTTCTAGGCTGTAATCTATATGGGAGCAGATTGCCAGCAAAAAGATCCCGCGGAGCCACTGGTGGGTTTGAACCACCAACATTTCAGTTAGCAGCCGAGCACTTAACCATTACATTACCAGGGCTCCTTCAGGGTTCCTTGAGTTCCCACATTTCTAGATTCCTTCCTCTACTGAGGATCTCAAAAAGAAAGTTTGTTTTCAATTCAATAATTAATACTTTTTCCTTTTACTGTGAATATTTTCTAAAGGGCTACATTGGGTTGGATGCACCTAAGTTGTATAGAAAAGATGTCTTTAGCAGTGATCAAGGGAGCTGATTAACCAAGTCGCTTCTAATTCTTACACATCAGACTTGTCCACATCGGCCTCGACTGGAGCCTGGGCTTTTGCTTCCTCAGTGACTTACTAAAGGGAAAGGATTCATTTGGAGCCCAGATGAATTAACAACTTTTTATCTTTTAACAGAAAACAGCCAAGACAAACACGAATGAGTTTTTGATTGATGTGGATGAAGGAGAAAACTACTGTTTCACTGTTCAGGCTGTGATTTCATCCCGAAGAACAAACCAGAAGAGTCCAGAAAGCCCCGCCGAGTGCTCCAGCCAAGGAAGGGGCATTTTCAGAGGTGAGTGGCCCTGCATGGATACCTCCACCCTCAGAGCCCGGATGATACTTGTTTTGTAAAGTGTTCAGGGAGAAATAGCCTACTCCCTTTTTTTTAAAAATGATTTTAGGTATTTAGAAATGTTTCAGTGTCATTCCTTTGTATCCCCAAGTGTTTCCTTGAGCACCTACCATGTGCTAAGCTCTCTGCTGATCACTGGGCACGGAGCATATGCTTAGGATTTAGCATCAAATCACAGATTTCTCTGGGTTTTTTTCATGCTTAAATTTGAACCCTGGGCGGGTGCCTCTGGACCAGCGGCAGCAGCACCCAACAGATATTTATGAGCACCCATGAAAGGTATTGCTGTTGCTGTTCTTGTGTGCTGTCGAGTTGAGTCTGACTCATAGTGACCCTATAGGACAGAGTAGAATTGCCCGATAAGGTTTCCTAGGCTGAAACCTTTATGGGAGCAGATTGCCAGGTTTTTTTTCTCCCCCATAGAGCAGCTGGTAGGTTCGAACCACCTATCTTTTGGTTAGCACAGGACTTAACCATTGCTCCACTACAGCTTCTTACAAAGGGTATAGGGAGTATAAAGTTTAAGCCCTCAAGGAAAGAGACTGAGTGTATCAAGTACAGCCAAGTGCATGTGTGTACACATGGCCAACATGTGCATGTACATGCATGCACAGACACAGGGCTCAGACACACTGGGTGAGGAGTGGGCCTTCAGACGTGTGCATGAGGCTGAGAGCCTCAGAGTCTCCCTCCAGGGAAGGGGAGGTGCTCTGAGTAAGGGAAGAAAGAGTCAGAGGATAGTGATGATGGCTTAACTCCTTGATAAAATGAGATATAAAATTTTTAAAACACTATTCTCTCCTGTTTATTGACATTGCAGGAGGATGGGGCCCTCCTTCCCTCTGGTCTTGCACACCTCCAGGCTCCTACCCACTGCCTTCCGATTAATCTTCCTAAAGCCCAACTGCAGTCCAGCTGCCTCTCTGCCGTTGTGCACACCCAGATCCCTGCTTCCCCTGTCTCTTCTCTATCTGCAGATATGAGTCCTTCAAGACCTATTTCAAATGCCACCTCTGTCTTACCGCCACCACCACCAGTTGCCATTGAGTCTATTCCAACTCATGGCAACCCCATGTGTGTCAGAGTAGAGCTGTGCACCATAGGGTTTTCAGTGGCTGATTTTTTGGAAATAGATCACCAGGGCCTTCTTCCAAGGTACCTCAAACCTCCAACCTTTTGGTTAGCAGTCAAGCACATTAACTGTTTGTACCACCCAGGGACTCCCACCTCCATCTGAAAGCCCTCTTATTGCCCTGTTCAGTTATCATCTCTTCTCCACGTGAATCCTGGTAGCACTTTGTACCTCCCTCTTTCACCTACAATTCTACTATTATCATTGCTGCCAAACTCAACGTTTTTGACCGCTTGTTTCCAACAGCTGTCCTTCTTTCAACTATCTGTATTTTTTGTAGACTGTGAACATTATTGAATTTATCAAGTGGCCCTTTACATGCTTTTAGCCATTTTTGATTGCCCTGAAATATCTAGGGTTTGACAGATTCTTTCCTAATCTAAGTGTGGTGGAAAGTGTGGAGGAAAGAAATTCCAAATTACGCAAAAGCAGATGGTGTAACTTGGGGTTATGTCCTCAGTTCTGTCCACTGATAAATGGGATTGGAGCACTTCCTCTAAATTGACTTGGTGCCTTTTATTTTTCAGAATTGTTCTTCATCATTGGAACGGTGGTATCGATGGTCATCCTCTTGATCATTGTCGTATTGGTGTCGTGTCTGTACAAGTGCAGGAAGGCGCGAGTGCGTCGAACTGGGAAGGAGAGCACCCCCCTTAACGTCCCATAAAGGAAGCACTGTTGGAGCTGCCAGCTACTGCAGATTTTGCGTTGCACTGTGACCAAGAACTTCTTAAGAGAACAGACTATACAGAAACACAGATCAGTACTCCAGAGCATGGGGACTCTTTGGATTCAAAGAAAGCTCTTTATCTGACCTGTTATCACAATCAGCATTCTGGTTTTTGACATTGGCATTAGTCACTTTGGAATGTAATGAATGGTACTGCCAATTCCAAGTTTTTTTGTTTTAGTTTTGTAACACTATAGCACCTTTTGCACATCTCATGCTGTAGACTGTATATTCTGTACGCAAGGTGAAACCAGGTCTTCCAAGCGGAAAAAAAAAAAAGAACAAATGCCTTAAAAAATCCTAAGTGGACTTTGGAGAACTTTTGAGTGTCTGACACCAAACCATGTGAAAAATGAAAATTGGGAGTCGGGGATTTTCTAGGATTTTTCTACTATATGTCTGCCCTTCATAATATGGTGTTTAGGTTTTTGTTTTGTTTTTTTTAGGAATACATTTTGAGCTACAAAGCAATTGACAGCCTTTTATATGAATGTGTTAAATGCAGAAGACTTCATTTTTGGCACCCCTAATATGCGTTACAGATTAGCACTTTGACTTAAATGCTGTTGATTAAACACTCGACAGCTAACTATGTTTTTATAAGACTTCTATACAAACTACATTGAGTTTATGATTTAAGGTACTTAAAGCTTCTGTGGTTGACATTGTATAATATAATTTTTTATAAAAAAATGATTTTGTATTTGGGGATTTTCTATTTATATAGGTAATATTTTTTGTATATATTGAGATAATTTATTTAATATACTTTTGTATAAATAAAGGTGACTGGGAATTGTGACTATTGTATTTATTATATCTTCCATTTGTTATTTATGATTTGGTCTTTGTATGCGTCAGCTCTGCTGTGGTAACAAATGACTCTAAAAATCTCAGTGGCTTACAACGATGTATCTTTATTTCTCAATTATTACATTACATTATAGTGGCTGCAGGTTGACTGCAGCTCTTCTCGATGTTTTCTCATTCTAGGACTCATGTTGAGGAAGAGCCCCTATTTGGATTATGGCAGAGAGAAAAACAAAACGCTGGTATCAGCAGGCAGCTACAACTTGGAGCTTTAAGCCACCTCTTAAAAGTTTCTGCTCCATACTGGCCCCTTGTCACATTGGCTGACTTGCCACTGGCCCAATCAAGTCACGTGGCCAAGCCTGGCCATAGGTTTCCTACCAGCAGGCACCACAAGTCACATGGCAGTGGGCGGAGATGTGTAATCCCCTTACAGAGAAGGGAGAAGATAATTTACTGCAGATTTAGATAGATTTCTTCCCATGGGCCTTAAGTTTGAGTTGAGGATGACAGTTGAGGAGGAGAAAGGAAGAAAAAGTCTTTGGATTATTGTCTTAAAAGAAAATTAGATGAAAGAACAATGTAATATAAAGTGTAGGGAGAGATAGAAGTGGAATGTGGTCTAGAGTTTTTGAAAGCATAAACTAGATTGAGAGCTCTTCGTGGGCAGGCACTGGGTTTGGCTCATGTCTATAGCCCCTTTAGGCTGACTCTGCAAACAGTGGATTCTTGGTCAGTCTTGACTGAGTTGAGGTGACTTTATTACCGTCTATAAGGTAGAGGGGCCCTAGTGGCACAGTGGTTAAGAGCTTGGCTGCTAACCAAAAGGTTGGCAGTTAGGCATCCACCAGCCACTCAGTGGGAGAAAAGACCTGGCAATCGGCTTTCCTCAAGTTTACAGCCTTGAAAATCCTACGAGGCAGTTCTACTGTGTCCTATAGGGTCACTATGAGTCGGAATTGACTTGATAGCAACAAGTTTCTATAAGGTAGCAATTGTGAGTCCATTCAAATGCAAATAAAATACAGCAGTACAATCTTGCTTTGTCAACTGTATTGAAAGAGGGTTTTAATTGGAATTGAAAATGACGTTCCTGGCACTTAGCTGGGCCACACAACCACTTTTGCTTCCCGCTGTGGAAGGCTGGGCAGGCATCTTCTAAGAAAAACACCCAGAGGGCACAGTCCCTGAAAGTGGTCCCACAAAGCGGAGGCTGTGCAAGCATTAAAATGAGTGAAGACGCAGCTCACTGTCCAGCTGCTAATTATTTTAAACCCAGGGAATTCTAAGCATTGTCAATAAAACTCTAAATATGAAACGTTTGATGTAATATCACATTCTAGGGAAAAATAGGCGAAACAAACCTTTGATATCCTTGTTAAAAATAGCAATTTTGGAGAAATTAAGGGAAAGAGACCAGTGGTTGGTTTATTTGGTTGGTTTTTGTTTGCCATAATCAATGTGTTAATGCTGGAAAGACTGAATCTCATACTATTGTAGTGCTCTTGTTGTAGTAGAGAAAAAGGGAATGCATTTGCAGCCGAGTCGACAAAAGAGACGTTGGCATGGGGACGTGTCCTGAAAGAAGTGTGCCTTGGCCATTATCTTGGATTCCTGTTAACATGGGCCCCAAAAGAAACCAAACCCATTGCCATCGAGTTGATTCTCATGTGGACTACCTGGGACAAAACTTAGCGTACTTCATCGGGGGCAGAACCAGCTCCAGGAGAGAGCGGCTTACTGGGCATTTCCATGCCAGGAATAATTATAGCACCATGTAACTCCATGGCCTCATAATCTAAGGAATTCAAATTATCCCACTAAAGAAAGTACTGGCAGATTGAAAGCAGGTCTGGGTACAAATGAGTTGGCTGGCTGATCCCGGGGAAGGAATTCATCATAGACCTGAATGAGGCAGAACTGCAATGATTGGAAAGCTTCTGCAAATTTTAACCACTCCCCAGTTTGCCATGTCTTTCTTAATTGCTGAGACTAAACAGCTGCTGCTAAAATCAACACTGTGATGGCACTGGAGCAGAAAATCATGCTATAAATTCTTGGCTGGTATCCAGAAACTACTGCCCTCCAGAGGGCCAAATTATATTTCATTATTTATCCTGGGCCTGAATGTATCCCATAAAGCTAATTGTTAGTAAACTAAACATCATGCTTTGAAGAGGGATTTTTACCATCTCATGTTATGTATTCTAGCCTTTCTTAGTCTGGAAGCTCTGCTGAAACCTGTTCACCATGGGTGACCCTGCTGGTATTTGAAACTCCAGTGGCATAGCTTCCAGCATCACAGTAACACACAAGCCACCACAGTATGACAAACTGACAAGTGGTAGAGACTGCATGATAGAATCTTGCAAGACCAACAACTTAGTCATTGCAAATACCTTTTTACAACATAAATGGCGATTATACACATGGACCCCACTGGATGAATACATACGAATCAAATAGACTACCTCTGTAGAAAGAGATGATGGAGAAGCTCGATATCATCAGTTACAACAAGGCCAGGGGCTGGCTGTGGAACAGACCATCAATTGCTCGTATGCAAGTTCAAGTCGAAGATAAAGAAAATTAAAACAAGCCCACAAGAGCCAAAATACAACCTTGAGCATATCCCACCTGAATTGGGAGACCATCTCAAGAACAGATTTGATGTATTGAACACTAAAAATGATCGAAGACCAGACAAGCTGTGGGAGGACATCATACATGAAGAAAGAAAAGGGCATTAAAAAGATGAGAAAGAGCACCACAGCCTCCACCAGCCTGAGCCCAGAAGAACTAGATGGTGCCCAGCTACCACCAGCGACCTCTCTGGCAGGAATCACAATAGCAGGTCCCGAACGGAGATGGAGAAAAATGTAGCACAGAATTCAAGTTCCCAAAAAAAGACCAGACTTACTGGTCTGACAGAGACTGGAGGAACTCTCAAGACTATGGCTCCCACACACCCTGCTAACTTAGAATAGAAGCCACTCCCAACTTCTGCCTTTCAGCCAAATATTAGACAGGCCTATAAAACAAACAGGAACCCTGGTGGTGCAGTGGTTAAGCGTCTGGCAGCTAACCAAAAGTTCAGCAGTTCAAATCCACCAGCCAATCCTTGGAAACCCTATGGAGCAGTTCTACTCTGTCCTGTAGAGTCACTATGGGTCGGAATCCACTCAATGGCAATGAGTTTGCTTTGTTTTTGTTTTTTAATAAAACAAACAACGGCACACATAAAGAATGTGCTTCTTAGTTCAATCAAGTACACGAAACCAAATGAACAACACTTGCCCAAAAGCAAAGACAAGAGTGCAGGAAGGGACACGAAAACTGGATTAACGGACACTGAGAACCCAAGGTGGTGGAAAGGAGAGAATGCTTACACATTGCAACCAATATCACAAAAAAATTTGTGTATACATTTTTGAATGAGAAACTAATTTGCACTATAAACTTTCACTTAAGTCACAATAAAATTTTTAAAAAAAATTAAAAAGACAGGAAAGAATGAACAGACCAAAATAGACGTCAGAAGAGACTCTGAAACTTGCTCTTGAACTTAGAGTAGCTAAAGTGAATGGAACAAATGATGAAGTAAAAGGGCTGAACAAAAGATTTTATAGGGCAACTCGAGAAGACAAAGTCAAGTTATTATAATGAAATATGCAAAAACCTGGAAGTAGAAAACCAAAAGGGAAGAACACACTCAGCATTTCTCAAGCTGAAAGAACTGAAGAAAAAATTCAAGCCTCAAGTTTCTCTGTTGAAGGATTCTATCAATGACTCATGGAAGGAATACACAGAGTCACTATACCAAAAAAAATTGGTTGATGCTCTGCCATTTTGGGAGGTGGCATATGATCAAGAACCGATGGTAGTGAAGGAAGAAGTCCAAGATGCACGGAAGGCATTGGTGAAAAACAAGGCTCCAGGAACTGAGGGAATACCAACTGATGATGTTTCAACAAACGGATACATTGCTGGAGGTGCTCACTTGTCTATGCCAAGAAATCGGGAAGACAGCTACCTCACCAATCGACAGGAAGAGATCCATGTTTGTAAACATTCCAAAGAAAGATGATCCAACAGAACATGGAAATTATTGAACAAAATCATTACTATCACATGCACGTAAAATTTTGCTGAAGATCATTCAAAAGTGGTTGCAGTAGTACTGCTAGAAAGTCAAGCAGTATTCAGAAGAGGATGTGGAACGAGGGATATTATTGCTGACGTCAGATGGATCCTGGCTGAAAGCTCAGAATACCAGAAAAATGCTTACCTGTATTTCATTGACTATGCAAAGGCATTTGACTGTGTGGATCCTAACAAATTATGGATAACATTTCAAAGAATGGGAATTCCAGAACTCAATTGTGTTCATGAGGAACCTGTACATAGACCAAGAGGCAGTCGTTCAAACAGCACAAGGGGATACTGCATGGTTTAAAATCAAGAAAACAGTGTGTCAGG